CGGCGCCCTGTCTCTATCTCTGTCCCTCCAATAGGAATCCCTCAAACTCTCTCTCCAGTCGTCTCTGTGCCTGTCCGCTATGGTGTCCCTCCGCTCGTACTCGGGGAAGCGTCGCCTCGTCGCTTCTCGTCGTCCGCTCGAGGTACCCGTCTTTAGAGCCTCCTGCGGCTCTGTCGCAACTAGTTCGCCCCTTACGTCGGGCCCTCCGTCATTGGTTTGGTCAGCCCATCTCAGCGGTGTTTCTCGCCTAATTCGTTCCTTCAGATCCCTCAGAGCTAGATCGGGCGATGTCCTGTACTCCTCTCCCGCTTCGCCCGTGGTCGGTTGTGGCCCCATCGTGTCGGGTTCCATTGGACCGCCAGAAGACGCAGTTAGGTATTCTAGCCAACTGTTACAGCCCGACCCTATGACAGTCGCTGCAGCTCGGACCTGTGACAGTTGCGCAGCCCGGACCTGTTTCCTTGTCACGGCTCGCGTCCGCCTCCAATCTTAGCTCTCGACTGTCTTGATTACCACTTCCAGTATCCCGTACCGGTCGCAGATCTTGTGCTCTCCCTCTATCCCAAAAATCCCTGTGTCTAAGTAAACCTCTCCTTCGGGATCGGCCAACAAGGCCGTGCATGTCCGGATTTGCAGTACACCCGTGACAGGACCTCTATCCTTGAGACAGATCGCAGTCCCAAACCTAGCCAATGTCTCCTGATCAACACCCCTCAAGAGTCTCCGAGCGTCTATCTCCGTCCTCCTTGCTAGTTCTCCTAGCCCTGTCCTGAATCGGTTAGCCCGCTAAAGGCCCTCCTACTGCCATCCAAAGTCGCCCTCTACTACAAACGTCGAAACTATCGCCCGCAGGCTCCTAACGCTGTACAGGAAAAACCCGTTCCGTGCTACCACCAGCTCGCCCGTGATATCAAGAGGAGGGCGTCCGTGAAATAGGGTCAACGGGTCGCTCGAGTCCTCCGCTTGGAAGGCAGCTACCTCTTCCCCCAGGTAGCGTAACGTCCTGCTAACCGTGCCACTAGTCCCTGTCGTCGCGAGGCCCACCACAGCCTCCCTGACCGCACCCGGTCCCACATACAAGTAGGCTCTCACTACGCCCACTCCTTGTCCCGGCCGGTGCTCTCTGTACGTCCAAAGCCACACGTCCTCGGACAAAATTATGGACCTCCACGCAAACTAGCCGTCAACGTGTCGAATGTTGCGCCCGGGGATCGTGAGCTCGACCAGATCCCCCTCTATGAGTTCAGGGGGCTCCAAGTCCTAGTCGATGGTAGCCCCATAGACCTCTACTTGCACCCGCGACCACATTCAACTGGCGGCTAGAGAGAACGCAGCAAGAGGGAGGTGTAGATTAATAAATGAAAATTTCCATCGCTTGCCTCACGCCTTCGGGAACAAGCTAGTAGGTTCACCCGAAACCAGGTTACCGCAGCGGCTCTTTCCCTTCTTCTTCTAGGGAATTATTTTGTATTTTTCAATTATAAATTAAAGAAAATATATTTAGTTAAGATAAAATTTATTTCTTAGTTTATATATATTAAGGATCAATACATATATAAGCCCGCCGAGTTTGATGATTTTTAGGGGTAGAAATAAAATTTGGGGAATTTACTAAAATTTCGGCAGCGTTTCGCCTCCCCCCGTTGGGATGGGGTTCGGGCGAAGCCCTCAAACAGCGCTGCCGAAGAGGGAATATCAAAAGCAATAATGAAGAAAAAAGGAAAATTGATTTAACTCGATTTTTAAATATTTTTGTTAATTAATTAGCAAAAATTTAAATTAAAAGGAAAATTTCGAGAAATCTCGACAGCAGTTTTCCTTCCCCCCGGTGAGATGGGGTTCCGAAAAAAGTCCCTCAAATAGGTAAAGTAGATATGAAGCGCATTGAAGTCAAACAAATGCCCGTACGCAATTTTTAATATTTATTTCAATTTTTTTATCGATTTTAAATAACAAAATCAAAAGTAAAATAATTCTTAATTATTTAATGGGGCAAAACTTCCCGAATTAATTTTCACAATCTTACGGGATATATTTGACAAAAAATCATCCGTAACAAATGCGGAAGCTAGAAGCTATGGCTTCCCTCTATCTACCCGCTTCTCTCAAAATTGGGGTTAGGACTTCACCCTTAGGGTTTTGGGTTTTGCACGCAACCGCACGAACACCGCAAAGCCCTGCTCGACGCGAGAAATTTTTTGTTACCTTTCGCTAGTCTTAGAAGAAAAACTTATTGGATTACATTTTTAATTTTTTTTTCTTTTAATTTAAACAAAATTACAAAGAAATTCAATTTCCCGTTGATTTTCTACCCCCTTTTCTATCTGTTGGAGCTCGCCGTTTGTCCAAACGAAGTCTGTTTTCGCCGACTAGGGTCTCAAAATGTCGGGAAAAATACAGGGACCGACTTTGGTCCGCGGGGTTCCCCTAAAAAAATTCGCTTATTTTCCCGACCATTTCAATCAAACGAAAATCAAAAGTTTTAGAATTTTTAATCAAAAAATACAAAAAATTTCATATCTCGCTTTTTAGCCGTTCGAATTTCTCAAAAAATGTCTCAAAACGTTCGCCTCGACGAGAGGACGAACTTTGCTCCACGTGCGCCTAGCACGAAAGCACGCGGATCAGGAGATATCGAGGAAAAACCAATTAGAAATTTTAACTCATGATTTTTGGGATTTTTAATTAGAAAAATATAAAAAATTCCATATCTTTTTTTTTTGCCGTTAGAATTTTTCAAAAAATGTCTCAAAACGTTCGCCTCGACGAGAGGGCGAACTTTGCTCCTAGATATTTCAAAAAAAA